TAAAGAAAAAACTAAAGAGAGAGAGAAACTGACTAAATTCGAAAACTACCTCTTTGCAAAACAAAGAAATAGAATTCATTCAATTTTACAACAAACTAAAATATACATTTTTAATACATCTAGAAACAAAACCTAAATCAATTCCACAAAGAAATTACGAAGAAAATACTACTAATAAGTAAAGTTGGAAGCAGTAAATATATATATATATTTTTTTGGAGAATGGATGGAATGTCATCCCTTTAAAAACTAAAAATTTTGAAAAAAAAAACTCATCCTTTACCTGAAGATTAGAAGAAGACGAGAATAGGGAAGAGGGGATGATGTGAGAAGGAAAACAAAAAAACTTATTGCCTCACTTCATACCTGAAAATAAGGAGTATGGTTGCCTCAGAAGTATGGTCGTCAAAAATAAGGAGCATGGTTGCAGGTAAAAACCAACGTGAACTAAAGAAGAAAAAGAAAGAAAAAAGGGGAAAAAACAGTTTCAACAGTGGAATGAGATTACTTTACTGTTTCTTGAACTGTGGCTACTCCTTCCCTTTTTAAAAAAAAAGTTAGAGTTAGAAACGAAATGATAATACCCTCTAAAAAAAATCGACCTAGAACCACACAATAAAATCAAACTAACATATATTCAATTCATAGCAAAATTCTGTATTTACTTACCAAAAATCCATGTTTCAATAATTTAGATTCAAACCTCTATAAAAAGAAAACAAAAATAGGAAAAGCGGGGAAAAAGAAGAAAGGAAAAAAAAAGAAAAAAAGAAATGTAATCGCAAAAAGAAAAATAAACAAAAATTTGCAAATGTTGTGTGTTGCACGAATTTTGTATTTATCGTATCTTTAATAGCGTATGAATTTTATTTTTTTGGAATATTTTTGAAACAATATCTAAAAATATTTTCATCATATAAGAAAATAATTGTAAATTATTTTTACAATTGCATAACAATATTGTGTCATCTAAAAAAAATATGTTTGTATATTTCATGCTTTAATAAGAAATATACGATGTTATACAAACTATTTTGCCTGTTTTATTTGACAGTATTGATATGATTGAGTTGAATGTGAAGATTATATTTCTAAATTTTGTGTAATTCAATATTGGAAAATTAAAGATTCAGCACAAAGTTATAAATTAACTTGCATATTCATATGCGTTTATATTTTGTGCTTCATATATTTAATATTTATTTTGTGCTTATGTTGAAAAAATTAAAATGTGGAATTTTTTGTTGACATTCGATTTGGTAAGTGAACGTACGTTGTTCTACATTTTTGGTATTTGTAAGTGCAAAAATTGGTATACGAAAATACGATAAGTTACCTGCAAATATGGTAGGCAATATTTACGGTAAGTTGCAAATACGATAAGGTGCATATATGGTAAGTTGCCTGCAAATACAATAGGCAGTATATGCGGTAAGCTGCAAATACGGCAAGTTGCCTGAAAATATGGTAAGCTGCATATGCGGTAATACGATGTATTACATATATGTCAATTTATAATTTGTTATAAATGCATAAAATTTATTTAATATTGAATTTTTTAAGTACTAAATATTGTAATTCAATATTGTTTTCTTTTTATATAATTGTATTTTCGGGAATAGAAAAAAAGAGAAGGATGATTATAAAATTGCTAATTTTTAAATGTGTTTTTTAAATAAATTTGATTTTTTTAATGCTATTTGTAAATTATATATATATATATATATATAATTTTATTAATGTAACAAGAAGATTTATTATGATTATTTAAAAAAATTAATACCAAACAATAAATCCATACTTTTGACCTGCCAATTTGGTGAAAAATTAGATGAAATACATGTGACTGTTTTTGAAAAAAAGACAATTGTAAAAGTTTTTAGTATATCAATAATTCATGTCACATTTGAAAAATGCTGTTAATTTTTTTGGCATCATTCTTTCTTTTTCTTCTTCACAAGTTTTACTTTTTTTCATTTTTGTCTTCTTCAATATGTTAAGATACTTTTGTTAGATACTTTTGTTGTTTAGCAATGATTCTTTCTTTGAGAGTTTTTTTTCCGTTGATATTATATTGAAATTAAACTTATTCTTGTAATTATATATATTTTTATTAGATTTAATGTAGATTTTTAATTAATAAATTAACAAACTAACATTTATGTTGCATGATTAAAAAGGAAAAAAGAAGAAGAGAAAATCTCTTGGCACAGTGCGGAGAGATCAATTGATCTCTCCGTATAGTGCAGAGAGATCAACTCTCTCCACACTCTTTGCACAATATGGAGAGATGGTTTGTCATCTCCCTGCACAGTGCTGAGAGTTTTGTTTTTCTTTTCGCATTGTGTGGAGAGTTTTTGTTTTTCTCTCCACACTGTCCAGAGAGATTTGATCTCTCCGCACAGTGCGGAGAGATGGCAAACTATCTCTTTGCACTTTGAGGAGAGTTTTTTTGTTTCATACAATTTATATATACTAAATTTTTATTTTTTTTAATGCTGATGACATATGCATGTGTGGAAAAATATTTGTCAATCACTATAAATAAAATTCTTCACAAAATGGAAAAATAAAAAATAACATCACGTGCAGTAAAATTGGATTACTTTACTGATGCATCTACAGTATTTCCTCTTTGCTGTTTTTATAAAAAGTTAGAAAATGACATCACGCACAGTGAAATTGGATTACTTTACTGTTGCATCTACAACATTGCCTCTTTGTCTTTTTATAAGAGTTTATATATATATATATATTAGCTTATCACGGACCAAAAAATGGTCTGAACAGACAAGCCACACAGGTGCAAGGCTCGAGCCAGGATGACTCCTCAAAATGGGCTCAACTCGAGACTCGAGCTTAGTCAACTCGTACTTTTCTCGAGTCAAGCCACAGACGATCCAAATCGACGAGTCAAATTGACACCCATAAGCCAAGGTCAAAGTTCTAAATGAATAGTATTGCCAACACTTAGCCCCTGTTTTGCCTCCATTAATTTCTATTCCATTCCAATTCATTTTTCTCTCTCATATTTTCAACCAACAATCTTCCATAAAATAATATTACAGGTAAGCCAAAAAAATTTCCTTCTTTTTCAACCACTCATTTCTTAGAAAAACACTACTCCGTTCATTTTCATTCCTACAAGATGGGGGCCAAACAGGAGCTTAGTTGAGATTACTATTTTAATATTTTCATAATATTTTTTCGACTCCAAGTCTATTCATTGACTTAAAGTCAAGATTGTAATTACATGTTGAATATTTTTTCCACAATAATGTTACAGGTACATAACCATGTACCTAATCCGGTACTTAATGATGAGGTGGTGAGATTTTGAACCAAAAATCTCGTCAATTTTGAAAACACTATGCAAAGGACAGAAACACCCTTCATCCATTACACTCACAAAAACCAAGGTGTGACTTGCCTGACCCATTTCTCCAGAACAAATTACCCATTTCGTACCATTTCTCCAGAAGACCGAATTGGCCTAACCGTTGACGGCGAGCACTTTGAATGCAAATCTCTGATAGTACGACCAGAATGAACTAGTGTAAGGGTTTTTCTCCATTGTTGTTCTCTTTTTGAACGGAACAACGTCAAAGTAAGACGTGTTAATTTCTCTTCTTTGATAGAAAAATTCGCCCATCTCTCCACCCGCTTTACAAAATCGATCTGGCTTACCTTTGACGAGCACTTGGGACTGCAGAATAACGATTTTTCTCAACGATTGGGACTTCGGCATATTCTGGTAATTTCTTGAGATCTTCAACAGTGAGCACTTTAGTGCCTTTTTACATGTTTAGGATTTGGGGTTATTATACCTTGCACTGCTGAAGTTAATTATTGTGGTATTTTCATGGCTGTCCCAACATTTGTTGTGTTCTGAATTGATTTCAGTTACTGGATGAAGAGCGAGATTTCTTAATTTTTTTTTTGAATTCTAAATTGATTACGGTTACTAAAGCGAAGTACTGTGGTGGTTTCATGGCTGCCCCAATTTGTTGTGTTCTTTATTGAGTTCGGTTACTGGAGGAAGAACGGGTGAATTCTTGTATTTTTTTTTTGTGAAATCTAAATTGAATAAGTGGATATGCAAATGTTTTTTGATTATTGAAATTAATATGCAAACTTCTTGTTGATGTATTCATTCATTGAGTTGTGTTGTATGATGACTTCAATGGAGTTTTAACTTGCTGTTATTACATTTGCAGTTGCATTTCAGAATGGAAGGGAAGAACAGAAGTATTTGTCATAGCTGTAGAGATCCTGGGCACAAGTTGTGGAATTGTCCAAATAAGAAGCAATGTCCAGACTGTGTTATGGGAATAGTGAAGATGATGGAGGTAGAGAGGGAGACGGATAATAGAGGTTGAATGTTCATGTGTTGTACATTGGAATGCGGATATTTTGAATGGAGAGATGTTAACTTCAACAAGAACAAGGCCTCGCGATTTGAACCTGGACAGCCTAGTGGCATTTGCGATGAAAGTGAAACAGAGGGCGGATGTTTTGTCAAACAAAGGCTACAAAACCTTTTCAAGACTTATCTCAAATTTTACAAACAGTTGCGGATCTAAAGATTGAAGAGAAGGATGTGGAGATATCATTAAATGTTACTATTCGATAGGGAAACAAGAAGTCGGACAATAAGGAAAAGGGAAAGTGTCATGAAGATTGAATTTGTGTTCAATGGTTTTAACACGGCCTGCTATTATGTTTATGCTCTTTGTCTATGTAAGAAAAAACCATGTAATAGATTATTAGGTCATCTTGCTATATTGTACTCGTCTGGCTATTATGTTCAATTAACTCGGCTTGCTATTATGTTCATGTGTACTCTTAATGTTGGTGAAATTCTACTTGTCGCCTTTTATTGAGATGTTCAGGGAAATCAAATTCTGTTGCTATACTGCTTTCATGGATGCATAAAGTCACATTTATACAGTTTTAATTAGACGTTGGTACATGAGCACTTTGCAACATGAAATTAAGAATCTGGCCCTTCACCAACTCAATTACAAAAGATGTGGTCATTCTTGTTCAGCTACATAATCATGTGCAAAATCAAAAGATGTGATATTTCGAGTTTAATTACAAAACCAAGTGCACAAGTTACAAAAAAGAAAAGAAAAGCCAACTACACAGGTTACAAAAAAAATGCCAATTTTGCTTTTTGATGGTTCATTGCAAACTTCTTACTACGTCCATGCTATCTTGTGTCTCAAACACTTGTGAAGATGATATGATCATGACTTGAGCCTCTTGTACTGGTAAATTGCTTGACACATTGTTGTTGGACACATTCTGAGTCACCTGCAAGAGTTGCGATATAATTAGCTAAAATTGTGGCATATGAATAATAGGATTTGTTGTTAATTAATTATGACCGTCAAAAAATACATTATTATGACCCTTTGATTTTTTCGTTATCGTCTCCAGCGAACTTTTGATCTGTAGTTTCTTTGGAGCGCCTTTATGTTTTGCACACTTCGGATCGAAAATGTTGAAAATTTCTACATTCCCTCCTCCAAGTCTTTTTCTGACAAGTGATTACGTTTCGATTTTAACAATTCATTCGTTTGCAATTCAATCCACCCCATTAACTGCTTCGAACATTCTTCATCAACTGCAACCAAGTCAGCCATCATAATTAGAGCAGCACACAACTGCTCAGGAGTATTCACCAAACCATCATACGTTGTCGCCACCCGTGTGTACGGTCGACTCACGTCTCTCCTCTATCTTCATAAAATTTACTTCTCCGAAAGTAATGACAGCTCATTCCGAATTAAAATCGAGATCGCATGTTTGCAAATGATATCTCGAAACTCAAACAGATGACAGTTACACACAATCTCGCAGTTGTCTTTACAAAAAGAAACTGTAAATATTTTTGTCTTCCTCCCTTCCTCTAGGATAATATCTTCACGAACCTCGTACTTCGTTATCCTGCATAACTCCTCCGTGGATAGTATTTCATAGTAAACCTTTCCAGTGAATTTTTTTTTTGAAACTCCTTGAATTTCAAGATTGTGTAAACTTCTTGAAATTGCTTCTCCATCTCGTACTTAGTAGCATATGGAACCATTTGAGAGAATGATCTAAAATTAGCTTGAAATTCCTTTTCAACTTTACTTCTCAAAGCTTGCTCATATTACTCCACAAACAGCTTTAAAGATGTCTTCGCATACACATAACCATCAAAGAATGCGTTTATACTCTCACTCCGCTGGGTGGTTGACATACTCACCTAGAATGTTGTTCTCAAATAGCATGGTACCCAACGACTTCGGTTTTCATAAAGTCCGTTCAACCAATCATTATCTTGCAAATTAAAATGTTGAAGCATGTTCAACCAACCTTTTTCAAACTCCTCACAAACTAATGTATCGTATACTAAACCGTGTACGACATACATTATTGCACCTTTTTCGCGATGATCGTCGAACTTTTTTGGCAACTTCTTTAGAATATGCCACAAGCACCACCTATGCTTAGTGTTGGGGAACATGATTGCAATTGCATTTTGCATAGCACGATCTTAATCTTTAATTATACCATCGGAAGCTTCACCCTGCATGCACTCAATCCATATCTTAAATAACCAAACAAATATATTTGTTTCTTCGTTTGAAACTAATCCACGACCAGATAAAGTTGATTGCCCGTGGTGATTCACCCCTACGAAAGGAGCGAACGGCATATCGTACTTGTTAGTTAGATAAGTGGTGTCAAAAGTAACTACATCACCAAATTCCTTGTATGCTTGCCTGCATCTATTATCTGCCCAAAACACATTCTTTAATCGAGACTCCTTAGCCAAGTCTATACTGAAATAAAAACCAGGACTACATACTTGCATTTTCAAGAAGTAACTCTGTAATGCAGTAGCGTGTCCTTCACCAAGTCTTAGACGCTGCACTCTATCAATGAAATTTCTACAGTCTTTCTCAACACAAGTCATGTTCTCAAATCCACCCGCCTCCACTATAGTTAAGTCATAGCTTTTATGTAATGGAATACCTGCTATGTCATTGACCTTAAGCCGTCTTTTGACTTGTGCACTAAGTTTTCGATTGCATCGATATAACCTAGATTTAGATGGGCTCGTCTTATGGTTATGCTCCAACTGCACAACATTTATTCGTCATATTCCACGAGCATCAGAACAAGTTGTCACCCTGGCTCTGCACCCTATTTCAATCGTTGGCAGAGGGTTCAAAGAAGTAATTCTATTAGTCTTCCGTGGACCTTCTCGACAACAAGTAAAACTCACGTATCTAACAACCCCGTCATCACCCTTCTCAGAGTTTCTTTTTTCTAACAATGAACCCTATTTCATAAGCATACTTCTTGTAGAATTCAAATAACTCATTTTCACTGTCAAATTTCATACCAACCTTTGGATCCAAAATCTAATTTTCTACTCCCAACACATCATCAGCCAAACAATCATCACTCACGAACTCGGATGAGGGAACCTCCATTCCTGTATGTGAGCACAATTAAATATCTCAGATTCAAACATTTAATTAACTGAAATTTCATACAGATTCAAAATACTGCATTTCAAATATCCTGGGCACAATGTTACCACTTTTCACATTGCAGTCGAGCATGTTATCGAACGAATGCTTAGTTTGTTGGTTACTGGTAATCTGTATATCTATACCAGACGAAGGAGATGAAGAAAACGTTTAAAAATGAAGCAACACTATTTCACATGAAGGCTGAAAAAATCATAACTTTCATAAAAAAAGAAGGAAAATGTTTTCACCATTGCTGCAGTACTCGCCGTGGAGTTCCTCACCTTCGACTTCCTCGCTGTCGACTTCATTGTCGTCCATACTGGGTTGAATTGCATTTGCCAGCTTCCCTCTACTATAGTCGTCTAAAGACGTGAATGCGTAAAATGTGAAGCTTCAATACGGGAAATATGAAGAGAACGATCGTTTTGTGAAGATAATGACGGAAATGTGAAGCTCCTTCTACAATCGATTAATGGCGATCTCAGAACTCATCAGCTTGAAGGACGGAAATTGGAAGAGAATGCTACGAGGGTTTCCATGTTGGGGGATTTTTGTTGTTTTTTTTTTTTCCCTCTCTCTCTCTTTCTTTAAGTGGACGAGATTTTTGGTTCAAAATCTCGCCACCTGAGCATTAGGTAGAGGATTAGGTATATGGTAATGTACCAGTAGCATTATTGTTTTTTTTCCATCAAGAGTACATAAATTTTTATAAAATCAATATTGATCATCGTTGTAATTTTTACGTACAATTTTATTTTTCCAAGTAATATGACTACTTTATTACTATTGGAGAACTAATATTCATATAATTTTACAAGATAAATGATCGGCTCTAAATACCGTTACTCAACCTCATCAAGACGCCAAGTTATAAAAGTCATTAAAAAAATTATTAATTTATCTTAGAAGATATGTTAAACTTAATAGTGCTATTTCTAGATCTTTACATTGTCTCAGAAATCATTGGAGTTGGTGGGCTATTGTGATAGGGGGCCTTGTTTTTATGGATGTTTGGGCTACTAAAGTTAGCAAACGGCTTCCCAAAAGCAAATAAGCCTGTCTGACAACCATTTTTTTTAAAAAAAATTAAATTAAATTGGACACACTCATTTTCAACATACATTCGATCACACACTAAAATATTTTGCACATAAATTTAAAAAAATTTCTTACTTTTTAACCATACATTTTCCTAAAAATTACTATTCAAAACATTATTTGTCCTAAATAATGGTTGTCAAATAGGGGTTAAATTCACAAAAAATTTCAAGTATTTCACTATGTTTTCCTTTAACAAATTATTTTGTGACAGAAGCCCAAAATTTCGAATAAATTTCTTCGATAGACTAATAAACTCCTAAACATATATTTAAGAGTAATACTATTTGACAAATTTACTAAACTTTCGAATATTCGTGCTAAAGTTTGCTTAGCCTTTCACCCACAACACTTGAAGACTCACTAACACTCACCAAGCGTGTCTCAATTAAAATAGGTTTAGCAACAAAAACTCGAGTTCTATGAGTAGATTTTTTAAGTCGAGAAACCATAATATCATAACTTTCTAATCCAATCTCCAACTAACTTACTATTTGACCCTCAAGCTTCTCACAACTTTGTATAATCTCATAGTTAGTCAACCTCCCCTTTGGAGAGGATGATTGAACTACGAAAACTCATTAGTTTGTCAAAACATTGTATGCGTGCAATATGTAAATTTAGTATTTAAACTATCAAATCATTACATAAAAACTACTTTAATAGAAAAGACCAGTTGTGAAGAGTCGTCAATTGGTAAAGCAATTGATGTGGATGTCGTTCTTAAAGGAGATCTAACTATAATAAGTCCAATGACTACATCTAATCTCGTCATCCTTTCACAATTTCCTTGATTGATACATTAGGCCTTTTGCCTTGCATGCAGTCCTATTCACAGTTGAGTGCAATGGTTTGAATCTTAAAACCATTGAAATAACGCATGATTGTTAAAGGTCCATCTTGTTGCTTTATAAGAACTGTGAATAGTCAGTTTTAAAGTAAATTCTATATAACATGTTTGTAATCCAATGCTCAATCTAAACCCCTTCTCTAGAGCTTTGAGTCCCAACAAAAGTCATATGAGCCCACATGTTATGATGACCATTGTAGTCACCTTACAAGTCACAATTCAATCAATGTTCACAACATGGTGGTTCGAGTCAGACCACTATTTGTAGCCCAACAGGGTTTCACTTTCATCAGATAATGCAATGGCAAAATAAACATTAACCAAATTGCTAGCATTAATATCAAGAAAATACAATTCAAAATTCAAAATTACGAGAACATGGTAGTCTTATATCTTTTCATCTTTCCTTTTAAAATGATAATTGAGATGGATCGGCGAAATACCCCTCAAAATAATCTGTGCGCAAAGCATGTGAAATTTTGATGGAAAAATTGATGGATTCCATTGAGTAAATCCAAGTGTGCTGAAATTAAAAGATGGTGGGGACACTGCGAAAAAAATTAAATAGAACGTTTAAGTGTCGTATTTTGCAAAGTAAGAGAATTCCGATTATCACTAATTTCCTTCTTAAAATGATCCGTTTGTCACATTGGATGTAGGACCCTTCTTGTGCAATGTTATGCTGCATCTATTTATTTATTTATAGTGTCAAACATGAAAATATATATCAAACGATGAAGATCTATTCATTACTAAAATACTGTAGATTGATAATAAATTACTTATATCATTACATATTTTAAGATTACAAAGGCTACATGACACCCTGCTTGCTCAAGAATTAATCATCACGTAATGATCTTAAACAAATAATGGAAATTATATATTTATGTACACCATATATCTTCCTAATCCCAAAAAATTGCAGCATTTTTTGAAATGTGCTGTCCAAAATCTACACTATTATATCTTTCTGTGAAAACCACTCCATCCTCCACCCTTAAGGGCAGATATATATGTTTAGTGTGGGGAGTTTGATTCCTGGTTGGAGCAGCCAAGTGATGTAATAACCAGAGGAAGGGTTGGAGCAGCTTGGTGATGTAATAACCATGGAGGAGGGTCCCTTTGGGGAAGGAGTAAAAGCCATGTGGGAACCTGGGAACCAACAAGGGCACAACCTGCGATTTACCTCCACTAGTCACTGAGGGGCCGGGGGCTAGAGGTCCAGGATTTAGTCCGGCTAAGCTGGGACACCTGGGTTATAAAAAAAAAAAAAAAAAAAAAGATATATATGTTTAGTTTTCATTACTTTTTTCCAAATCTTGACTTATTTAATAGTGTATTGTGCGGTATAGGACAGTACCAAAGAACGAAAAGGAAGTTAAAATCTTGTGCATCGAACTATCTAGTCAATGTCCTCACTGCTGACCAAAGGTGCTTTAATTGTGTATGGGAGGTTTTCTCCTTGCTTGAGAATAATCCATTCCAGCTATGTCCAAAATGTCTGGATAGGGCTCTGGCACAGGCTGCTGTTTTTCATCAGTTACAGTTGATGAATTGGTAGGGAGATTTTCTTCTGTCACACTAATTTTATCACTTTTTGATTTGGTATGATCTTTATTTCCTTCAGTCTTTTCACTCTGTACATGGAAGAGTAATCATATCAGAGAAAACAAGAAAATAAAATGCGTACGCTAAGAATAAGATTTTAGTTTCTTTTTACCACTGTCCAGTATAATCCAATTCTTCATGTTAAACGTGCCAAAAGAGTTTTGATATGAAACTTTTTTGGACTAAACATTGTCTTCTAACTCCGAAAACCCACCTTGAATATGGTGTCACTGCTGGAAATATGGGTAACTGCCTTGGTAATAAGTTTTCCATTCCTCCCTGCAAACAACAAACTGGATAAAATGAGTACAATATTTTTCTTACTTCTTTCACAACAAAACCAGGCCTCCATAAGATCTTGACATGTTAGTTTTATCCACGGTCGAAAGCAATGACTGTATCCTTTGTAATTAAATTACCTGAACAATGCCTGATTTTGCAATGAAAAACCTCTCCAACACCACCATTAATTCTTCTTTCTGGAACACTTTCCTGTTGAATTGGACAAAAAGTTCGTTCAGATTAGACTTCACAAGAAGTACATAGAATTTCCTCATTTGGAAGTACTAAAATATACACCAAAAACAGCCTCTCTCTTTTGTCTACTTACAGGAATATCATTATTATTTCTAGCCGATACAGATTCTTTTGTCAAACGTAAGCCTTCATCAGAATAGGAAGATAATCAGTACATAGAAATTATACTGCTATAAATGAACAGGTTAAAGAGTTGTATTTGGTAATTTTGACAGACACCATTACTAATACATACTTTCAGCTCCATGAAGCATTAATATAAGCAGCAGCCAGGACCTCATTTGGAGAATTAAAGGATTTTGACAGAAGGGATAGAGTTTGAAAAGAGAGGAAAAATGGACAGATTTTGAATACTTAAGAGAATGGATTGTGGAAATGTTTCTTGAGTTTAATTATCCTTCCCTCTTGAACTTCTTATATACTATTATTTCTTGTGTTGGTAAATGCTATGCAACTTGTATATCCATATTAAGGGATAATATTATCTACTCTATCTTTTTAATAGAATATTTTGCATTTTAGAGAGTATTTTTAAAGTTAGAAAATAAAAATTAAGTACTCTAACATGTTCTTTATATTTAATAATTAATTTTATTACTTCCAAAAAATATTTATTATTTTTTCCTATTTTTTATTTTCACTAGTTTTCATCCAAATTATTGGATTATTTTTTCTCTATTAAAAATTGAAATACTTTAAATGCATTTAATTGTGAAGAGTGAGTTTGGCTCTCTATAATCGAAGAATCAAACTCATTCTCTATTTTAAAAATATTAATTTGAAAAATGATTTGAAATATAATTTTAAGAATTGACTCTTTAAAATGAAGAGTGTCTCATGTTCAAAGAGTTTTTTGAAGATACTTTAAATGAATTATTTTAAAGATTAAAACCACGAGAAGTCAACAAAGTACATAAGACTAGACGTATGGTGACACTCAAAATTAAGATGGCACACGGGATTTCTTACTTTCTGAATTACTCACTCTGTTTAATTTTTCACATTATACTTTCATAAGTTGAAGCTGAAGATCATGCTGTAAGCTCCGTGTGATTTTCAGAAATAAATAAAGTTGGAGTGATTTAAAAGGGGGGGAGACTTTAGTTCTTGAACATGAGATGATATTTGTTGCTATTTGAATATGCAACTTTTGAATTTTCTTTGTTTACCTTTTGATTTCTTCTTTTGAAAGAGAGAACACTGACAAGTTAAGGTGGTGAGATACAGAAGAAAAATATGCAGAATTATCAATAGGACGAATAATCAATTTTGTCAAAGTATGTTGTCAATTGCTTATGACTGATTATAGAGAGGTTCAAGTCTTTCTGAAACTGTAAAACACAAAAATAAAATCCCAACAAGACATGTTTTTGGAAATGACAAGAAAATGTGGAGAGGTGATCTGAATTTTCTATATTTCCAGCACCGTCCAACCCCACATGGGTAGTTTGTCTCCCTTAAATACAATGTTCCAAAAAATCAGTAGATCTCACTCGCTGTAAATAATTCCCGTCACATTTATATAGGTTTATTTTGTTTTTTCACATGGATTAAGAAATCTTATTTAATCTTGTTGACAACCGAAATCTGATCTAATAAAAACAATTCGCTAACTCTACCTTAGGCAGGTGTGAGTTCGGTCACTGCTCCCAGCTCGGACTCGCCCGCCGTTATTTCAAAAAAACATCATGATTACTTCCTATCACATCATCCTATCAATCATATACACTTGCCACAAGTGACGTCATCACCGCCCATAACCACCAATTTGAAGTCCTGATCCTCAAGCCTCTTGCAGGTCATCATTACTTGAGAAAAACATTGACACGTGACCACCGACCTCGTCGACCAATCACAGGAGAATTCGATGACCCAAGTTTCGAGCTCGATTTTGTAGCTGATTTGACTGATTTGATATAATTTCGGCTGAAACTATGTATAAATAATTGAGTAGAACTCTTGTGAAAGGCAAGCGAATTCATGTAAAAGCTTATAGTATCATTACACTTTTTAAACGTATTTTGTGGTCTTTTTCAACAATAAATTTCTCTTTTTCTTGAAGTTGGCTTAAGATTAGCCTTGTTAATTTTGACGTCAACAAATATTATTGATAAAAACAATTTTTGTCAATAACTTTCTTTGTTTAACTAGGCAAATTAAATAAGGATATATTAATAAACGTACAAAACAAAACAAGTACAATAAAGGAACAAGACTATATAAATTGGACGAGAAAATAAAGAAAGTAAGTTTATATAAATGGGACAGAGGGGGTAATAACTATGAAGTTTTACCATTACATGTAGCTTGTCTTCCACCTTTTTCTGTATAAAATAGTTTTTTTGTGTGTTTGTATATAATTTGTAATAACAATAAATACATTTATAGATCAATTTTCACAATATACAACTACAGAAACGGAGCTAGGATTCAAAACCAATGGAAGTAGGGCTGGACAAAACTCCCAAACGTAACCGACCGAACCGAATTGAGCTATTCTTTTTAAATTAAATACCCGAATAGATATCTAGATCGAAAACCAATAGGTTCAGTTCGGTTCGGTTCTCGGTTCTAAATCAAGAACCGAATAAGAATCGAATCTTCCTAAATTTTTAATTAATTTATTTTAAATAAATCAAATTATTTTATTTTTTAGAATAAATTTGCTAACTAGTTAATTTAGCTCAAACAAAAAAAATATTATTTTTCATGTTTCTAATTTTCAGTACAAAGTCAACTTAATCAAATTGATCTAAGTTTTATATAAATATGTTACTCTACCGTATTTTCGTTTCTACCGTTATGGAGAAATCGAAATAAAGCTCGACGACGCCTCTCCTAATTATTGTGAGCTCACTATCTTTTTCTTCCTGTGATTTTAACAATCAAATCAATGAAACTCAACAAAGAGTGACTCAAAAGACACATAAGATTGGACTATGTTATTTTGTAAGAGTTAAGATTGAACAGATCATTAGTTGAATTAATGTAATTTTGTAAACATTAAAAAATTTAATTATAATACGGAACCCGACGGTTGCACTCGTTAAATACCGAAAAATTTCGGGTCCGATTCGATTATCATTAGAGCCAAATAGAACCGGACCACATCCAACCCTAAATGGAAGCCTAATTTAACTATCAATTTCTTTCGTCAAACACAAAATATAATAATAGTAAAAATAATAAACAATAAATAAAAAATGGACAATGCTAAATGTACATAATTTTTTTTTATCTAATCCTTTACTACTAATCACAATAGGGGGATGGAAATCACATTTGAGGATTTTTATATTCATGTGGAGTCCGTATGCATTGTGAGAGGGGAGGCAACTTTCGATACAAATGGAATTATTGTAAAAAAATTCTCGAACTTCAATGAGATCCAAGGACCTACTAGCCCACCTCCCCCCACCATTGGACATATAAAAATTATCATTTGAAAAATAGTTGTTGTATATCATTATTTACAAATTATTTTACAGACTGGTGAGATGGCAAAAAGAAAGTGAGAGAATTTTATTTTTTGAATAATGTTACATTGCTAGAAAATATGAAAAAAAAAGCCTCAGGTACAGACTTTTGATAAGATGTTGTCGTGTCAACACCTGCACGCCTTTTTTTCTTTTATCTTCGCATGAAAACCCTCGAAATGGTATTTCTGTAAAATTGCTATTGATTTTTTTTTTCTACTTATAGCATTATTGAGAAAATTTTGTCTACTTTTTTTACACAGTGTAACATAGCATTCTATCATTGAATTATTTAAAAAAATAGTCAACTTTTACACCTAATCATCTACTGACAACACTGCATATGTCAAGCAGGTTGACAAGATTTTCCATTAAAATGGCTTAATCCTTATTTTTCAGTTGATTGGTAAAATTTCTCAATCATATCATTCTACATCATTTATTGTTAAATAAATCTATAAATTGTCACGAGCATGTAATGCAAATTTAATGGAAAACTTCAAATAAAGAACTTAAAAATTGCCAAAAAAATAAAAATTGAGAAACTGTTGAGGCAGTTGAATAGTAAATGCCGTGCGGTTGATAGGATGAATAAATTGAGAGCAAAGAAATTAAAGTGACTATGACAAACGGGCCCCATGGGTCACCTTCTCGCCCATACATGATGCGGTATTTCTAGAATCCACGTGGACGTCAACATCTAGGCCCCATGAAAAACTGACGTGGCAATGAGCCACGTGGACACCGACTGCTCTTTCTTTGTAATTTCAATTTCAAGGACAGGAAAACATCCGATATAGGTGACCGAGTCTGGCAGGCAGGGGCAACGGGCAGTGGCTCCTGAATCGTTTACCGTTTGCCTGATATATTTTTGAGAAATATATTTATTCCTCCTTAAAAATAGTCATGTAACAACTTGTCCACACAAATTTTGTAAATATTCATCCATCACTACCTAACATGCTATTAAAGCAAAGTATTAGTTGTTCAAGGCGAGCAGTTCAGAGATAGCGGGTTCAATTCATGAGATTCTTGGAAGACAGACTTTCTCCTGGAAGGCAGGAGTTCTCCTGGAAGGTAAAGCGCATACATGGATTTGACTAGCTCGACACTTTAACAGTTCAATTGGGAGGGCTCTTGGACTCTAGTCAGTTTCGGACACAACCCGTGGTTTACCTGGTCTGCATGAAGAGGGGTTAGATTGTAGGTCTCAGGATTAGTCGCTGTAAGGCGGACACCTGGGTATCAAAAAAAAAAGCGAAGTATTAGTTGTACTGAACAGTATGATTTTGATTAAACATTTATTTTAATTTTATTCATCATATTTTTCGATTTATCATATCTTCTTGTCCCTAGTTTTAAATATTGTTACACAAGTGTGTTGAAATTGATGAACAATATGGTTCATGTAGTGGTTAGATTGATTCGGTAATACGTCTTAAATCTATGTACATGGGTATCCTTTCAAACTCTTCGCAAATTTCATTGAAGGACTTTGTAAGATTCATCCTCTAAGTTTTTATCGAACTTTTTTCTATAAACACTCAAATAATGTTGCTTTTGGTGAAGAATGTTGGGTGATGATCTTTTACAAGAATCTATTAACGAACTAAGATTTTTTCGATATATTGGATAATTACATGAATTCGGAGCACGTTTGAGACCCATTTTTTTTATTCTTTTCTCAAAAATACATTTTTGGACAGTGATTTGATGGAGAATATATGGTTAAAAAATAATTTTTTTTTAATTTACGTATAATATTATTTTATTAAAAAATATAAGGTTGAAAATAAGACAGGGAGAAAAATGGAAACCAAACAAGGGCTCGGTTTCATTATTGCGCTTGATTCGTCGTTAAATTTATTGAAAAATCTATAATAAATGAATCTTCAATAACTATCACACGTCAACTTA